GTATGTTTTTATTGCGTGAATTATTATTCGAATAATTTAAATTATAATTTTCTTTAGCCAGAATTAGGTAAATCTCGTCGACGAGGTCATAAATTACCTCCACAAAGTTTTACATATGGTATAACGATGCCACGACGTGATGGTGGTGTTAACGAAGGTAAGATGTCGACAATTCGAAACTCAAACAAAATCTTCGAAAAAGTTGTTTTCAACATATTCATCATAAATACGGGTTCATATTTACAAATTTTTTTATCATTAGAACTTTTATTTCAAAGCAAACGAACATCATAATTCACAATCAGAAGAAAAATCTACATTGAATAGTATACTTAATATTTAAAATAAATATTCATCCAATAATGGTTATTCCATTTCGCACTATTTCTTTTCCAAATAATTTAATCTGTATGCTCCTTCTAAGTTTGAAATTTTATTTTAAAAATTAAATATACTATTCGATGTAGATTTTCCTTCTGATTGTTATGAATATGATGTTCATTTCATTTGAAATAAAATCTCGAAATACGAACTCGTATATAGGATATTTTGCTATCATCCTATTGAAAAAATGCATTTTTTTTCTAACCATTGTTTTCTTAATAAACTTAAGTTTTGTTACAAAAACATTGTTTAAATATGTCACCAAAAATAAATTCTGAATAGTTGATAATTTCAATAAATAGAAAAACAACCAAGCATTTATAAATTCTATTTAAATGTTTAGCACTATGTCATGGACCGGAAAAAGAACGTGCAACTAATCCTGATTTTGAATTTGTACGTGATTATTCAGCTTTAAATAAAGCAGCACTTGAAGCTGGTATGACAACAGCTAAAGATCAATCACGTTTTAGGTTATCATTTAAATATTTAATTTCTTATTTTTGAATTTTTCTTATTAATAGAACCGTACATGATATTAAAAAGAAAGTTTTCATTCGTGATGTATCACTTGGTAAAAAACCACATAAATTTCCTGATAATATGGTATTCGGTACACCAAATAGGTAAGAAAAATTTAATTTTTTACTCTATTTTAATATTTTGTTTATAATATAGACCATCAACACCTATAGGCGAAGTTTTACAAAATCGTTTTCTTGATAATTGGCTTGAAACAATGGAAAAAAAACAAGCTACACTTAAAAAAGAACGAACCGATGCTGCGGTATTTAACTTTAATTGAATATATTTATGATAAAATTTTTTTTTTATAGAATGCTTTTAAAGGAAGTTATCATACAAAAGCATCACTTCTTCGTCAAGCGAAAATTCCTGTTGATCCAAAACCATTATGGAAAATGCCAAAATTTGCTCAAGTAAATTAGAAATTTTTCTTTTTATTTGTTCTAATTAGGTTTTTTTCGATGAAAATTTTTAGGGTGAAAATCAAGTTGATTCATTTCGTACTGAAACAGAACGTCGTAGAGCATTTAGTGCTAATACATTTGATTCAATACCTCGTCAAGGTACATATCATTCAGGAATTTATAATGTCCCACGTACTACTGTCAAAACATAAATATAACCAAAAAAAAAACAATATTCATTAACTATTTGATTGCTCTTTTTTTTTCTTTTATTGTGCATCATAGCTTTTTTTTTTTTTATTTAAACAATAGAAAAAGAGTCTTATGAATGATGAACAGATGGAAATGTTTTTTACTTGGCTAAAATATATCGATATATTCAAGACGTACAAATAACGACTAGAGAAATATTGTTTTGAGAAGAAAAGATTTTGTTGCATTTGTTTTGTTTTTTTTTCATGAATAGATTCGATGTAAATCATTTTGTTTTTCTGTATAAGCATTATGTAATCCTGTTAGAAATTCTTCGTCATTCTAAGTAAAAACAAAAAGAAAACCAAAGATTGAGCAAGGTATATGAAAAAATTAATTTACTTGAAGCATATCAATTAATAACTGTCGAAGTGTATCTTTTGAAAAATAATTCATAGATGAAATTTGTTGATTTTGACAATGACGGCAAGATGTTATTACATCGTTTGGTATTGACGGAATGAAAGCTATTGAAAATAACAAAACATTATAATATTAAATAAATGATTTATTGTTAGATCTACTTACCAGGTGATTGAGTTAGTTGTAATGTTTGAAATTCAGCTGGTGTCATTAAACGACCATTATTATTTGGGAATGTATCAAACTAAAAAATTGGATAACAATAAAATAATTTTTTTTTTGTTTTCTTTGAAATTAATAACTCACTCCATTAAAAAGATTTTGATTAGATGTTGTCCAATCATTGGTAGAATTAGTGACAATACATGATGATATTGAGTGAGGTGGTGTTGGAATAGAATTCTAAATGATAATGTAAATAGGTTTTTTTTTTCAATGAATAATTAGAATGTAGATGTTCTATTAACTTTTTTTTAAACACTAGTAGAACTGATAGTGGAATTAAACTGTAAAACATAACGTAGCTGCTCTTGTTAATCATAAGGAGATTGTTTTATTCTATATATATTTTGCGACATGTTTCTTTACGATCTTTTTATTTAATTCTGTAGAAATGCACTAAGGAAGTAGTTCATATATTATAACGAGATAATATTCATATACGATGTGTGATTGTATGTCACGGTCTATGGAAGACGGAGTTTTAAATTTTTATCGCTATACTTCAACATTCCTTTAAGATCCTTTTTCACAGAAAGTATTAGTCTATTAAATCATTATCTCTAATATTTTAGTAGTTTTTATGAGATATTGCTGTAAATTCTATTAGAGTGTGAATGTGGGTCTGTGAACTGAAGACCTTAATAAAACCATTTTCCAAAACCTTTAAATGAATGCCAGCAAACTGATTTTGGTTTTCTAGATGTCCTCATCTAAGCAATTTTATTGAAGATTTTAGGCGTGCAAGTTCTTATAGAAAATCCTTTTAGCTTGTCAAATGTTTTTTCAGATTCTTCCTAATTATTACCATCAAGAAGAAAACTCAACATTACAACTGCTCTAAAATTTTGTCCATCACTATGGATAAAAACATCCCTAAAAGTTGATCCTGGTTGTTGAAAATTTTTTCAAAATTGACTAATCAATGTTTGTTCCGGCAGCAGCGCTCCTACCGGAGATCGATCTCTCTGAAGTTTGTGGTTATTGCACTACATACTAATTGTCTGTGCTTTCAAAAATAGATGTTCATTCCTCCGAAAGACAAATTCAAGATAATATACTGGTCAACAGCTTACACATCTAGTAATATCATAGTGAACATACTTTATTTTCAATCTGCACAGGTTTGACGAGACTTTCAATTGTATTATTATTATGATTATTATTATTAGTTCCTGTAGAAGTAATCATAGTTTTTGTTATTTCTAATGATGATGGTTGTAATAATTGTTTTTCAAGTTCCGTTACACTTAAAGCTGGTTTTCCTAAAATTCCTAATGTCTTTTTTAATTCTTGTTCACGTTCATCATTATTTGTTGATTGTATTGATGTATCTTGTGTAGAAAAAAGACGTAATAATGCAGCTGGCATTGATGTTAATGTATCAGTATTATTTATATCTTGTTTACGTTTCTATTTCATATTAAGCATAATTAAAAATAAATCGATTCTAAATAAAAAAAACAAAAACAAACTGTTTCTTGAAATTTTTCTTGAGCATTTATTAATAATGAAAATATATCTGATGAATTTTGATTGAATGTTGAAAGTAAATTTTGACTATTTATTGATTGATTTTGTTTTGATTGTTCATATTCTTTTGCTTGTATTGTTAAACTAGAATAAAAATTAAAATAAGAATCAAAAGAAATTTGTTTTTTTTTTAATTTACCGTTTTAAACATTCAGTTACACGAGGACAATCATTTTTTGATATAAACCATATTCCATAAATATCTAATCGAATCAAAAAAAAAAAAAAGAGCCGTATTAGACAAAAAACAAAAATTGTTCAGAACTACCTCCAACATCAACTTTATATTGAAGAAATGCTTCATAATTAGGTGAATGTTTAAATTCCATAGATGATTTAATTATCTGTACAAATGTTTCACGTGATACAGTACTTAATATAACAAAACCATGATAAGGTTCACATGATCTAAATAAGGAAAAATAAAATAAAATTTCAATTAAATATTTAACGAATAAATATTTATTTACCTTTCATAAACAAATAATGTTCCTTCGAGATCTTTACGTTCCTAAGAAAAAGATACATGTCAATGAATATAAAAATAAAAAGATTTTTCCTGTTTTTTTTTTTACCCATTCACGTTTATCACCAATAAATTTATAAACACAAACACGTTGAGCTTGATCAATTATTTTCGTTATATATGGATCACGATTCTGTAATGCTTGTAAATTAATACGATTCAATTGATCTTCTTCATTAGTATTTTCATTAGAAATATTTATTGATCGATTTGTATTAGAAATTGAAGATATTGATGAAATAATAGTTGACATAATATAACGAAAAAAAAAAGAAATGAAAAGAAAAGAATACGCTAATATAACAATTGATTCGATTCAGATTATATGAACGAGCACGAGGATAGTAATCCACTACAATATGGGTAAAATATGGATATATCTAGCTTTTTTATGATTGATAGGAAGAAATGATCTATAGAGATCTCGAACATTGATAGAACCTTGCAAAACTATTGTTGTCTGTTAACTAATGAACTGTTTGTTTTGTTTGAAATTTCTTATTTATTGTAACTATATCAATTATTTATCTATTTTATAACAAGAGAACAGAATAAATCTGTTTGCATGTTGATTCAGAAAACATTATAAATGATACATATTATCTCGAAGTTCGCAGAAAAATACATTGCGTAGAAAAGAATTTTCTCAATGACTTTTGCGTTCTTTTCGAACATTGCAATGAGAAAAAAATATATTCATGATATAATTATGTTATTTCTTATTGATTATTACGAATTAAGATGTTCGAAAACTCTTGTTTTTTTTTTCTTCTAATTTTTAGAAAAATCTTGTTATGTCTACAATTCGATCAAGTCAACCGACTATGGTAAAAAGTCGACCTCGATCAACATCTCAACCAACAGTATCATCTCGAAAAATGTCTAAATCTTTAAATCTTCCATCATCATTAACATCGGATATATTTCGTATTTTACACAATATTGTTTTAGTTTTTTGTCGTCGTATTATATTTGCACCACCAACACTTAAAATACTTGTTTATTTTTGTCTTATTATAATTGGTCCTTTTTTAAAAGATTTTCATTTTATACCAAATACATCTCTTTCTTCAAAAGCTAATAATTTTAATAAATATATAACGAAAATAGGTTGGATGTGGTCGATATTTTTATTAATTCCATTTGTTTATTTAACAAGTTTAATTTATACTCGTGGTCATTATGGTTTAATAATTCGTCATTTAATTCGTTTATTAATAGCTACTACTATATGGTATATAATCATGTTTTTATTTATACGTATTGAAGCTCTAACAGGCATGTGTAAACCAAATGATATGCGTAGAATTGCAAGACGAATTTGTCATACAAGTCGATATCAATGGCAAGAAGGACGTACATTTTTTCTTCTTTATGCTCTTTTAGTAATTAATGAAGAAGTTAAATTATATGGTGAAAATTGGAAAAAAATTGAAGATGCAAATAAAATCAGTATTGGTAATACAAATACTTCATTAAGTTTAAATCAAAATCGTATGAAAATGTTTTCTATACCTATTGGAATACTCTATATTGCTTTAGCAATATTATCAATTCTCTGGGAATTTTTACTTTTATCAACTGTTTTATATATTTATAATATTTTACATAAATTAATAGCGGCAAGTTTTGCTGTATTTTTTTGGTTTATTACGTATCGTATATGGTATCGTCAGAATAATAGATCAAAAATTGCTCCTTGTGCACCTGGTGATGGTTTTATTACTTTTTAAAAAGACAACCAATGCAAGATTTTTTTCTTATGTGTGTATACCTTTTTTTATTTTATTCAAGTGTAATTATATATATCAAAATAATAACAAAAAAAAAACAAAATATATATATATATAAATGATGATTTGTTATTCAAGATGTCGTAAACGATATAATGCTGGTCGAGCATTTATTCGTGATTCAGGTTCATGTTTCCAACAATCTTCGATGATTGTTAATACATCAGAAAGTTTCTAAAAAGAATATGAAAATAAATGAAGAAATAAAACATAGCTTTTAATATGATAGTTTGTCTATAGGATTATCCCAAAAGTCTATCCAGAAAGTTTACAGAGATAAATCTTAAGCAGTTCAAGCGATTTCTATATATATTTTTCTATTAATATTATTGTATATTGTTTAAAGTTTCATTCGGTATTTGTCGGAGCTGCCTAACAGGTCATTTTTTTCTGACTTGCATGCCAAAGCCGACAGATTTTGTGTTTCTGATTTTTCAAATATGGTCAATTGTACTTTAATGTATCATTCTAATTTCAGTTGTTTAATTAATTGATTTCTATAAAAACAACATAATCACAAGTTCTTGCATGAAATAGCAAATTAAAACAAAGACAAACATCATACATATGAAAGATTTGAATTAACAGAATGTTTTTCGATCATATCAATACTGTTTTACACATAACGAAAAATGTATGGAATAAGTGATATTTATAATAACAGACAAGAACATTTACATTTGTCAATCAATAAATTGACGTTTGATTTCCAAAACCTACGATCCAGGTCAACAAATGCGGCCTGTTAATCAAACCGAATAGTATATGGACGAATCAGGTCAGACTGACAGTTTTGGTATATATTCAGATAAATGTCTGTAATTGTAAATATTAGAATAGAAATAGTTTTATTAATGGCCAAATTTGGCATAGCGACATTAGACATGTTTTTTGTCATCTTCTCGAAATCAGTTTAATAATTAAATGAACAACAATCTGGAAGACCATGACAAATTCCAGAAGAGAAAACTGATGAAGTTCATGATGCTTATGAAAACATACTAATATTAAGTGTTTGGATGGTTGCTACAGTCTTCTTCATTTCACAAACAACAGCAAGCCGAACTACAATATTATGTCTTCCAACGAGGCTATACAAAGCGCAATTTATCTAACAACTACATGAAGATGTATAAAATCGAGTTCGAGTTGTCAAGTTTTGACATCAAGGTTAGAAAATATCAACAACCAAGAGAACTCGTCTTTTTTTTTTCGTATGAAATTATTCAACATAAAAATCGATAACGGATATTTCGAAAAAGATTGATTTATGTATTGCAATCCTTTCGAACATTTGTTGTAAACCAAATTACATAAAACTTAAATGAATATGCTATCATATTATAAACAAAATCCTTTACTTTGCTTAAGATTTATTCATTGTAAACTTTCCATGCAGACTTTTGGGAAACCCTGTATGTATACTACTTAATAAAATCGATATATAGTTTTCATTAGTGAAAAGCTAAAGCTCACATGTTCTTTATTGGTGAAACTTTAGTTCATAGAATGATTCGAGAAATGAAATCTCTTCACGAAAAAAAGAAAACCTAAAAAATTCTGTATATTTTTCATACTGAATTCATATTTGTTGTTCGATGTATAATTGGTCTTTTTCTTTCGTTAACAACAATTCGATGAAGTGTATCAAGAATTTTATTTTCATTCATTTCATTCATATTAATATATTCTGCATAGGGAAGTTGATAATCAATAGAACCTAGAAACAAAACAAAAGAAACAGAGTTTGTTTTTTTTTTAATCAAAAAAATTAAATTCTATTCATTTTACATGAATAATCTTGACATTGTGTAACAATTTCCCACATAACAAGTCCAATTGCATACATATCAACTTTACATAAAGCATCACTTGTATGTGTTATAGCAAGTTCAAGTAATTCAGGTGCCATATATCGATATGTACCAATTTGAATAAAATCATTTGGTATTAAAATTGGTGAAAGAATTTTAGCTAAACCAAAATCACTTAAATATAAACTAAGATTTGGATATGATTTAATAAGAATATTAGAACTTTTTATATCACGATGAATAATAATTGGTTTACGAATACGATTTAATGTTAAATAATCATTTGATGATAAATCTTCATAATGAAGATAATCAATTGCATCAATAAGAGAAAGAAGAAATGAATAACAAATTGACCAAGAAAGTTTATGTGAATGAAGATAATTATTCAATGAACCAAGATCATAATATTCAAGTATAATATATGGACATAGATCATGCCATCCATGACTGATAAAACTGAAAGAATAGACAATGAGTTAATAAATCGAGTCAATAGCTTTCAAGACTATTGAAATCATTTTTTTTACATATCTGAGTGTTGTAATTAGAATTTTCTGAAGATTTCAACTGAAAAGTATTGTTCCTTCACGAGATATTGAATTTTACATGAATCACTCATATCTCGCAATCAAAAAAAAAATGTGAGAATCTCATGTTTTTCAGACATTTCATATTCCACGAAAGGGAATATATTTTTAAGTGACTTACTTAATGATAGCAGAATGATGAATCATTCTTAGAATTTGTATTTCATTTTCAAATATATTTTTATATTGTTGTGAATGATAAACTTTAACAGCAACAAGTTTTTTCTCATGTTGTAAATTATCTTTTTCTGTTGTCCATGCACGATAAATAATACTATTTTTTCCATGATTTATAATTGATTGATAAGTAGGATTTGATGATAAAAATTCATCGATTTCTGTATGTGAAATATTTGTTGATGCACATGATATATTTGCTAAAAATGATCTATCATCTTTTTCATATCTTTTTTTATACCATTTATATTTTATAATTATAATAATAATAATTATTATACTAATAATTGAAATAATAATAATCGTAAGTAATATAATTATTAATAAAAGAAACCAATTATTATATTCATATTGTTTAATTAATTTATGTTTTAAATAAAATTTTTCATTAAAATTTTTAGCTGTTTTCCATTTTAATGTACAATTATTTGAATTACATCGACATAAAAGATTAGTACCAGTTTTATCAATATCAAGAATACATTCTGTTATATTTGAATATTTTTCTTCAAAATCATCAACTAATGCTAACTGACGAATTGAAATTAAATTTTCTTTTGTTTTAAAATTTTTATCAAATGTATAAATTCCAAGACAACGACGATAATTTGATTGTGTTATAATATATGTACATAATGAAAAATTTTTATCACATGAATTAATTATACTACTTTCATTATTAAATATATTATAAATTGGACAAATAAGTGATTGAATATTGAATGGAAATAGTAAAAAAAATGAAATACTTAGAAGGAAAAACATATTGACCACTGGTCAAAAGGAAAAAGAAAAACTGAGAAAATATTGGTTAGAACAAATTAGCTTTGTTGAAAAAAATAACGAATCATTTATTAGAAGAGATATACTTCTGCCATCTTTGATTTGTTATATCCATTGTTATTTTTTTTTAATATTTCTTAATATGTTAAAATTAAATAATATAGATATAGTGAATGGAATTTTTCTTTTTTCTGATGAATTTATTTTATGAATTGGCAGGTATATCATCATAGAAAACTGTTTAGTTTTTGATTGATCTTTATTAAGATGATACTAAATTTCTCCCAATAAAACATGCTCTTGAAAGAATGATGTGTCAAACGTAATCAAGGACTCTCTCCCCTTTAATTAATTAATTTTTCAAAAAAAAAATTGAAACTTTAATTAATACCTTTATGTCAAAAAATATCTAGTTTTCAGAATTTTGAGCTGAAAATCTTAAAAGACTAAATTCAGCATTGTTTCTGAACTTTTAAAACCCTAAAAACAAACATCTTCCTAAATCTGCAAAATCGTTTTGATTTTCTCAAAACACCATTTTAGTTAAAATCTATGAAAATAGCTGAGATCTTCTACTGAAGAGAGACTTCTACTAATGAAGATATCGTGTCATTTAATATTCATACATAAACGATCATATATCTATAATGAGAAAGAAAAATTACATTAGTATCGACTGATAGACGTGATGGTCATTATCTTTGATAATCACGTATGATTTAATATTGATGTATTCGTTTCTATGATTAACGATTCAAAATTAATGATAGGTGAATTTAGTTTACTTCATGTTTTATGATTAATGATGAATATCTAAATAACAATCAGATAAATATTGAGTTAGCAAGCGTAAAATTTTCTTGCCAATCCAATATATTTGCTGCCCTAATTTACTCTTATGATATAATTTCTGCAAATGTCTGTAGTATGTATTAAGAGCTTGATGAACGAGAAGAGCTCAGCGTCATACTGATCTTCTGTTCAGAATTATAGTTTAACTAGCTAGTTCTCATGCTCTTTAAGCTGGTATCAGACTCTTTTTTTGATGCACTTAGTAACATTTTGTATAATGTTCCAGACGTTTTTAGAATTATCCTAATCACATAAAATTCTATTCTATGACTTTTGACTTGGTAATAGACAGTTGATATTATTTATATAGATGACCATTGAAAAGATGAACGAATATTTTCTAAGATTGGTTAACTGTAGGAATAATGTTGAGGCAAGAGTAACTGAAAAATAGTTTTTGCAAATGTAAGATTAATTTTATTATTTGTTTTCTTTTTTTTTTAGAATAAAAATGACTACTCTAATAAATTGTATTATGAAAAAAGAAATATAATTTTTCTAAATTAATAATGATGATTGTCGATTCGATCGATGATGATAATGATAACAAAGAATATAAATAAAAAATATGATTAATAAAATTAAAGTAATTATTGTAAAAATAAATATATATATTAATAAATTTGATTTTGTTCTTATGATTAATAAAGTTGATAAAATTTTTCGATAATTTTCATCAAATATTAAATGATAATTTGTAAAACGTGTTGTTGATTCAATTGTTTGTTGTTCATCAACTGATAGAATAACATTAAAATCAGATATATGAGTCGTAGTACTATCAAAAATTTCGACTTGAAGTTCACGAGTTGTCTCAATAGGTATTAAACTAAAAAAGCACAAATCTTCTTTTTTTTTTTTACAACGAAGTTTTTTTTCGAATGACTAACTTTGGAAAAAAATCACAATAACTATATTGAACATGAAGAGTTTTTGATTGAAATGAATTACAATTTTTATGAATAATATCATTCCATGTTGAATTATAATTTATATAAAATGAACATTGATTAATTTCAATTAAAATTTCAATTTTTTCATTTAATAAAATTTCAAGTGATTCAAATGGTATATAAAATGCATTAATTATAATAAAACGATTTGTATAATTAGTTGTTTCACTTTTATAATCTTTTATTTGAATATTTTGATTAAGTTTTATTGAAATATTTAATGGTTGAATATTTATTGGCCATGACCAAAAATTATATTGATATAAATCAACAATAATCCATATTAAACGTGATTGTAAACGACAAATAAATGTAAAATCAACTTCAATTGGTAAAATATCAATTGATAATGATGGATATGGACATTGATAGGGTATTAGTGGTTGATCATTATTTGGAGGATTTATTATTCGTGTATTATTTTGTGGACAATGAATATACCATAGAGTATTGTGATTTATAATACCAATATGATATTGTTCATTTGTATTAATAAATATAAAGAGTAATAATAATAATAAAAATTGATATGAAAAAATCATTCAATAGAATTTGAAAAAATTTTCTTTGATTGTAAGATGAAAATTTATAAAAACTAAATATTAAAATATCGTGTTCGTTTTCTTTTTTCAAACAATAAAAATGCTGAATATTGTTGTAAGTGAATGTTCACCTATCATCACGAAATCTTCAATTGAATTGAACTTTGAAATAGTCGATGTTTTTGTCTCGACATTTTTTTTGCTAATAGATCTTGTCAATATAATATGAGTAAGTATAGACTGAATGTCATGGTACATGACCATTACATTGCTCTTTCATTATTTTTTCTTTCGAATATGATTTTTTAATTGTTGTTAATCTCGATGATGTCTATTTCTTTTAATGTTCTCATGTGTAAGCGCTATAGAAGAATGTATGTATACAATGAAATAGACACAATTGAAGTGATGAAGTGGTTCAATCAACATCATTATTAAGGATGTGAAGAACGCTCTACTTCGTTCTATAGATAATCTTGATATGATTGTAATGATTTTTATCTCAGGACTAGAACACATGACAGATCGATCTGACAAAAAAACGACCAATTTCTTATCTTTAGAAAAAAAATTCAGTCATTCGTATATTTTGACATATTTACTTACTTTTAGAATTTCAATACATGACATATTCTTCTATTAAATATATCATAAATTGAAATATAAACTTAAACTATGATCATGTATACAGAAATATGCTAAAGTTCTGCAATAATACTAGATAATCTCATACAATATTTGAGGAAAATATATGTTAATAACACGTACATAGAAAGAAAAAAATTGTCAAAGTATACTATTCATCAATATTGCCTCAGAAGACAAATTGATGAGAGAAAAACATTGTTAGATTCATATCTATAAGTGAACAAATACTATGTTATTATTGATACAACAGCAATATTGTAATTTGTAATACATTGAAATAACAAACAATTACTAATAAAGGATGTCTAATAAGCTTTGATCTTCTTCAAATAAATATTCTTTTCTTGTATGTTTTTTTTAGTAGAATAGGCTGATATTAATAGCATATATATACTAGACATTTAAATCTCCTCTATGGTTTTTATTTCTTATATTCACCGAGATAAAAGTAATATAAAATTCATAGGAATTTTTTGAATTATTTGTGAGAATTTTTCCGTCGTTTTATTTGGAATGTTAAATAAAAAAACAGCTATTTGAACAAGATTTATAAATTGAAATTCTTTAAACATAACAAGAAAAAAAACGTACATCAATGTTTATGTATTTACTACGGTAAACATTTTTCATTTTCTGATTCATTTTCAAACCTGTGTCTTCTCAATTTTTCCTTAATTACACTTCAAACTGTCTCGATTAGACAAATATCAGCAAATTTTGCATCTTCAAAGTCGCCGTCAAATAAAGATTCAATAATATTTATCACAACTGTTATTCAATGTTTTGCTATTCTGATTATCTTGAAAAATCGGTACCTAGTTAATCTTATTAAAAAATAACAAATGACACAACGCAAAAAATTTAAAGTTACTCGTTATGAGAGATTAATCGAATAACTACAATTTTCTCATGCATGCTGTTTGTAAAAATAATTCAAAAAATTCCTATGACTTTTATGTTACCTGTATCTCTGTGATTATACGAGGTAGAAAGCATAGAGTAGATCTAGATATCTCGTATATAGAGTTCAGTAGTTTCAAAAATGACTCGAAATCGCGATTCTGGTTCGGTTTCCAAAACATCATGGGGAACCAAAATTAGTAAATCATCAGACAGAAATAAAAATCTTAAAATCTATTTCGAGAAATTTTCACTATTGAATTATTAAGATTAAGAGACACCACATGTTCCAGTACTTGAACAAAACACTATTATACATATATACTGAAATCTTTGATCTCAAGAATGAAAAAATGGAAATTTCTCGACATAGATTTAAGAATTTTTGTATTTAGCTGATGACTTAATGGTTTCGATTCGATTCTTGATTCCAGTTTTTTTGGAATCGTTGAAATCTCCCAGTATATAATTATACTGTAAATATTAGCTTATTCTACTGAAAAAAAAATATATAAGAAAAGAATATTATTGGAAGGGAGTCAAAACTTATTAGAAAGCCTTTATGTTTTGATGAAGACTGGGGAAGATAAGAATTTTTCTTTAGTTATATTTGTACTTGTGTTAATGAATTGATAGAAGAGAAGAGTAATTTTTACGATGAAATAGTGTTTCCTAAAAACTTTCGTTCTTTTAATTATCTACAAACAATATATAAAGAGGTGAACTATACGTAGGAAATACAAGCTATTGTAAAATAACATTCCGATTGGAAAAGTTCTTTTTTTCTCCTCGAATAAGAGATAGTTTTGTTTATAAAAATTGTTATACAATGTGAGTTTCTATTCTAGCATTGCATGAACATTTTTTTTTTAGAAACCATTAATTCTGATTTATAGATCGTGATACAAATAAATTTATAATGACAAAATAAGACGTTCTGTACTAAAATATATTTATGTACTCGATATATCATCAAAACGTCATACAATATCACAAGTGTTTTAAATAACGTTATATTTGATGCCATTCTTTGTTCGACTTTAGATTATGATACACTAGCGCTATGCAATCTGGCGGAGGCATTACTTACGAGGAGACAATCGGGATTGATACACGTCATTTAAGCTCATATTGGACCTACAAAGATGTCTTAGTAAGATTAGCAAAAGTCTAAAAGGGTTTTTATTTATAGATCTTTAGAACTAAGTTATGATCGTTTTCCTGAATTTTCGATCTAATTTTAAATATATATCGAAAAATCAAAAAAAAAAGTATTTTAATACAAAAAGTTACTAATATTGAATGTACTCGAAAATTGAATATCTTGACAAAAAACATGTATTTTTTTGGCTGAAACTTTCAGAATATATGAGCTTAAATGGCAAGAGTGAATGTGAGTAGTTCACTCATTGGATATAATCAATTAATCAACACAAAACTTCAAAAATTTCTTTACCGAAAAAAAAATTGAATATCATTGTCATAGCTTGAATCCCTAAGATACATAGGATGATCCAAAAGTTCCCGGTACTTCGGTATATCTATTTACGGAAGCGACATTCCATCCATCTTTCTACGCCATATATTCGAGGTAGTTGTTCTGATATTCCATGGGAAATTTCAGTCTTTTAGCTCACTCTTTGGATATCCTGTTGAAGTAAATAATAGGTATTGAATTGACCTTCTTGGTTATAACCCTTCCTAAATTGTTGTAGCTGCTGATTATTAAGTCTATCTTGAATACATCTTCAAGACTCAGATGCTGGAAGCCTGGTCTAAGGTAAGTACGCTTGACGAGGCTTAACTTCAGTCCTCTCACTTTTAAGTAAATAATAGCATTATTTTACATGTTGCTCAAAAAACCCATGATGGAAACTGATCGGACTAGACCATGATGATACGTTTTTGTTTGATAACTTTTTTATCTGTCAATTTAAACATCAATTACTAATATAGATAGAAGTACCAGCTCTTATAAGAACCACTAGATGTCAAACAATGGTTAAAATATCATTAAATGGTTGGCAGATATTACTATTTTTGATATCCTTAACAATAAATGTCGCTTAGAGGACTAGTTTTTCTTGTTGACCTAAGTTTCGATAATGATTTTCATCCAATATTGCGATGGCACATCAATGTCTGATAACCGTTAATAGTATCACGTAAAATCTATTCACCATTTAGAAACTTCTCCAAATTTTTGAGGGCTCAAAAAACGATTGAAATTCAAGCAATAACCAAGGTAATCAATTCAATACCTATTGTTTACTACAAAAAGATATCTAAAGAGTGAGTTAAAAGGATGAAATTTTCCATGGAATATCACAACAACTATCTCGAATATATTGCATAGAAAGATGGATGGAATATCATTTCCATAAATAGATATACCGAAGTTCCGGGAACTTTTGGATCACCCTGTAAATGTTGGAAAAAAAAGTTGGTTTCTACGTAGTGAAAAAAGAAAATTTATATTCTCTGACACAACAAAAATCATTTTATCGATAAATTGAATCAAAATTTCTATTTTTACATGCGAGTCTTACTAACTTTTTGACATCAATAAATAATTACAACATCGATCAAATATAAAAAAAAAATACATAAATGAGCATTTACCATTATTCTATGGTAAGATCACTTTTTAAACATTTTATATGTACTCTCATTTAGTTGAAGAAATGAAGAAAAAAAATGCAATCTAATATTAAATAATATATATGATATCCTTTAAGAATGGTAAAATATTCTACTATAGATAATTTATAAATGCTAAACTTAATGATTTGAATTCGAATCATTCTAAGTTAAAGATCGAATATGCAGATAACCATAATCAGAAAAATTGAACTAAATTCAATAAAAAACTAAAACAAAAATTAATTATTTGATATCGATAGAATTTATTTGCACTTGCATAAACTTCTGAAAGGAAAATTTCTAAATTTTTTATTTTTCAAGGTTCGAAATATCAATGCATAGATAATCTCATAATTTAAACCGTTAACATTTAATAATAAGAAACAAATACAAAGAAATGATTCTGATTAAATATTTGAATATATACAATTCATGTGAAAGTATATCCAATAGATGAATAAAATCCTAGAAAAAACTAGTCATAGATTAGTTTCATCATAAATTGTTAGTTGACATTTTGATCAGAGGTATAATTCAGCACCGGATACCGGAGAATGCCGAGTGGTTGAGCTTCATGAAAAGAGACGCTGTGTGGACGAACTTCAGAAACAGAAAGCATCATACTTCTGATTTTAATCGAATCAATGTATTGTTGATTACAACGTTTTCAATAACGATTTACTTCAATAAATGCAAAAATATTCAACAAAAAAGAATGACATTTAAAAATAACCATAAGTATAAGAAGTACATGTGTCCTTCAAACATAAATTCTTTATTTCTAATCATTACTTGATCTATGAAATAATAATTCATTCAATATTGACATATATTTAAATTGTTCAAATTAAAATTGTATTTCTTCTTTGTTTTTTATTCGAAAAGTTCAATCAAAGATCTACTTAACATATATTGAAGTAGAATTTTAATAGTTTGTCGAGTTCTATTACTTTAATCATATAGCTTTATGTAGAGCTTAAGCAAACCATTTTGATAAGCTATCGTGTCTGACGCAATTTTTTATCACATTTTATTTTATTCTGTACACGAACTGAAGGATAAGTTAAATGGTAGGTAATATGAAAGATAAAGAACAAATGTAAATCACAAAAAAAAAAAATGTTGACTGTCTCGTCTTTTTTTTTTACGAAAGAAAAAAGGGAAGCATAGTAATGTATAGTGTGTATATAGTTACTCCTTTGTATTCTCTCTAAACAGTAGACAAAAAACATAGGTTAACAATAAGAAACTTTTTTCTCATTTAATCTATTCGACCTGAGAATAGAAAATTGACTAGTAAAAGATATATATTCTTTTCTTATGGAACAAAATCAAAAACTTATTGTTATTCTTCTACCAATAATTTTCATACTTGGTACAATTACGATTTATTCATCGTTTCTATATACTCATCCTAGTTCTGGTAAGAACGAATACAAAAAAACTATTCATTATCTTTAATAGATTTTGTAAAATTTGTTAGTTATATCCAATAATCGTGTTCATGTTGAATTTTTTGTTATGTCAAAATGTCCAGATGCAATGAAATGTGAAACATCAATGCTTCCAAGTTTATTAAAACTTTCATCAATTATTAATTTTACTCTTTCATTTATTGCTACAGAAGCAAAGTTAAATGATTTTAATTGTATGCATGGTATAGAAGAATGTATAGGAAATAAACAACAATTATGTATACAAGATATGTATTCACAAACCGTATTTATTAAATATCTACAATGTCAATCAAAACGAATCGATATGATTCCATATAATGGTGAACGATGTGCAAGCGAAACTTCTGGAAATATTATTAAATGGCATGATGTACAATCATGTGTACAATCAAATAAAGCAAATGAATTATTTCATAAATCATTACAACGAACATATTTAATGGCAGCTAGAAAATCATGTACAATTTATATAAATGGAAGATTGTGGTGTATGCATGATAGATTTTGGTCAAATTGTGCTGAAGGTCATGATGAAATGAGTTTTATTCGAGCCATTTGTTTAAGATATAATGGACGAAATAAACCAGTAGAATGTACAATTTTTGTTTAATTTATTTACGAAAATATCAGGAATACGAAATTTTGTAAAAATAACAAACGGTTGTTGTGTTTGTTATATTTTCTAGTTACACATTGCTTGAATAAAATCTACAAAAAATTGATTTAACTAAACTATTTTCACTCTGCTACATTTATCTTTCAATGAAATACCTGAGTGAGAGTATATGTAGAGAAAAATGTCTCATACGCATACTTCACCTTCCCAAATCGTTTAGATGGTTCAAGAGTCGTTTTACAATAAACAAAAAAGACTTTGATATGTCCAGTATATTGAAATCAAAAACTGAATCTCGTTATCATCGTTCAACCATCATTCAAAGTTTATATTCATAAGAAACTATTTATAAAAATTCTTCTATAAACTAGTATTGCTGAGCTCAATAAACAAGTGTAACCTTGGCCGCATAATAAAATAACAAAATTCCATTTTTCCAGATAACTTCTCTTTGTTTATAGCGAACACTTTGTTGGATACATTAAATAACAAAATATAAATATATAATAGAAGTTTGAGACCCGACGACAATAATATGAAAAAAATAATTTGTAAAGTTTGATTGATTTTTTTCCTTTTGGTCGAAAGAATAAATGCATATTTGCATAGTATATTAATGATGATAACTCTTATTGAAGTCTATGATGGCACTATAATAACAATTGCATATAAACTATAGATCTGCACCGCACCTAAAAAACGACGCGCGCGTGGCGGAAAAGATGACGTAAGCTTCTGCAGAGTGGCGCCAGCGGCCACCGCACCAAAAGCCTTTTCGTCGAGCGGAGTGCCCACTCTGCGCGTCGTCGGATTAGGAGCGCGGCTGTCCCTAGCTAAGTGAAGAGTTCTTTTGATGATTTTTTTTTCAAAGGTTTATCGCATCAATATTTCTGAATAAATAGTGCCTCGTTAATGAACATTTCCATATAAACAATAGTATAACATTAATAAAACTATGATAGTCTATTTACTCACCAAATTTAACTCAATATGTGTACAGGGGGTACAAAAAGTCACCTGCCGGAAAACAATTGACACGTCTTTACTCGGTGTCGAACAGGTGAGCTAACTTTTTTTCTGATGATAGTAATTTTCCAAGTTTATCTTCATAAATCAACTGCTTATTGACATAGTTGAACTCTAGGATGGTCTACTTCAATACAGAATTCAGCATCTTTTCGCGTACTTTTTTCTCTAATGGCCAGCCGTAAAAACATGAAATCTATCCAAAATCTGCTTGACGTATCTCATTTTGTATAGGTTTTTTTATTGATCAGTTCCATAAAGTAATGTTTTCTATTATGATCAAAATATGTTGGTGCTACGGTTAAAATACCAGAAAACGTCGAATCACTATAGTGCTCCAGTTCAATTCGATGTTTCAGTATGGTGACCACAACACCATCATGTGTCAGTGGAAATAGAAAATTTTTTAAACGGAAATGATTAGCAAAAGAACTTTTACGAAATGGAATATGTCAAAAACGTTTTGAGTGCTTTTTATGCTTTTATAATTCACTCCTTATAAAAGTTTTTTTTACCAAGTGTTCTCTATAAATGAAGATATACTTTACGAAGTTTCTGTATAAGGATATAGCGAAGAATTCTAAAAAGAGTTGCAGGAGTCAAATACATCGACGAAAATTCAAAGCGTGAAAATAAATTATTTGGTATATTGCGAAAATAAAAGAAATGAAGAATTCAAATCATATGATAGAAACCCGAATCCGGATGTGGGTCGTCTCTTAACTCACATTCCAACATCCACACTCGCACCATTATTAAAAATTAACATCGAAAAAATAATATCGACCTCAGATTCAAATTCATCGTCCTCATTCATCTTAGATCAACGCTTTTCCATCGATTTGAGTAAGCCACGTTTTCTGCAAGGTTATCAGAAAGATCAGTGCAGCTTGCCACCACAAGCAAGCAAGCAAGTCTACGATTTATGTTTGTCGGACTTTTCACTACGAGAAAGAGAATCTAGATGATTATTTCATACATACAAGAGTATATTGCGTGATACTGGAGAAGCGGCTACACCTGTAGTCATCACTTCCAACTCACATGATACTTTTTCTCTTCGTATAGATACAGATAAAACAAAAAAAAACGCATTGTGTCTTTTTCCACGCATTCCATAATGCTTTACGCAACTTAAGAAGATTTTGCACTGAATGATATTCACTTTGATCGAATCAAAGTTCCTTTTTGCAATTTAATTCAACACTTGCGCAAAATTAATAAGAAAACAAACATACGAACTTATTTTGCTTCCTACGATACCCCATCAGTTGAGGCAAAAATCATCATTTTTGTAAAAAAACTCTTTCCTCGACGAAACAAATCAAGCTCAAAATTTCAAAAACTGATTACAGATTCGGATTCCCCGATCCCGATTACGTTTGACCAAACTTTATAAAAAATCTCTATCTCCTTAATATGGATGCACGTGGCTCAACACGTGTGTAAAAACATACAAGCAAACATACAAACTCATTTTATTTCATATGATCCTCTCCCTTAAGTTGAAGGAATAAATTATTTGATTTCTTTTCTTTCCATTCAAAAAGATGTTTGAATTCAAAACGTTAAAGAAATTGAAATAAATATGGAATAATTAATTTTTCTCTATTGAAAAGAAATTTTAATTATCCGTATTAAATAAGCGAAGCCAAATGTGTACATTTTTACTTTTATTTTCGATAGGGCAAAATATAGATTTTTTATTATAAAATACGAATTTCGATGACTACTAAGGAAATAGCATATAGTTAAAAAGCATTTGTTTAGTTTATGTACAGACGATGCAACAAAGCGTTCAACTAAAGTCCGAAGAATTCGTCATCATTATTCTGATACAATGAAAAGAAAAAGACTATCAAACAATGTTATTCGTGTTTCCATTCGACCTTCAAACAATCAAACATTGACAAAGAAAAATTCAGACAATCATCCTGATAATTTATCTTTCGTTAGTCTTTTTTATTTCTATTTCAATACAGATTTAGTTCGTTATATTAGAATTCAAATCACTAAAAAATTTGATCAATAATCTCATTCAATTTCTTTTTCATTGTAGTCAAATAAATATTTTCGTCGGTCGTCTGCGAACTTTCAACAAAAGAATGATTCTTCCAAAACAAATACTAATGATAGTCAATCTTCTCGGAGAAACATTTTAAAAATTGGGTTACGTACATCATCATTATCCAGAGTAACTCCCCGTGAGGTACTAGGAAATTCCTTATGAGACAAAATTAATACAATATAGTTTTATTTTTCTAGATAATTAATCGTGATGATCGTTTTCATATTCAAGTAAGATAATCAGTTTATTATTAGTTTTACAATATTTCATTCTTTAAACAAAGAATAGATCATGAAAGCTGAATCAGATCAGCGAGGCGTTCAAGAAAATTATCACAAAGATCAAAAGAAAAAAAAGCAACACAGAAGGCAAGTAGTTTTTCCTGCCTTTTATTTGTTTCACAATGATTATATATTGAAGACTGGGGACAGTGTGGTTGATCTTTAGTTGTGTATTACCTTATTTGATGCTTGCAGTTACTGCTGCCATAGCACTTCCAATTCTTCTCATCAAATCACCAACTGAAACAACACAAGGTAAATAATAGCATATCTTTGTTTATTTACATAGTTGTTTATGTCGTTCAAAATTTTTTTATAGATAAATTGATTTTTCTCTCTGTCAGAAATGTTTGACAATATGATATTGTGCTGTAAAAATTGATACTTATATTATTATCAAATCGAAAACATCTTCTGTTATTGATAGAAGTTTAGATGAGGCATGCATTTAGCCTTGACGACTGAATTAATTGGAGAATATTTAAAAAAACGATGTTGAGAATTCTTTACTTATTCCTATAGTTTTCAGAGCATGAAGAAAAACTTATGTAGTCGTAAAGATTACTTGCATGAATGACGCTAACATAATTTTCAGCTCGAATTTAACGTATAAGCAAAAGCATTTGAATTTCGTCGAAGTAGTTGCTTGAAAATTCTATGTTTCAAATGACATTCAAATATTTATTCCCATTGTTCTGTCTAGATACTGCATCTACAACTTCAGGTCTGACTTCAATCATGGACTCAAATACGACCTCAAGTACGATCTCAACTACGACCTCAACTACGACCTCAAGTACGATCTCAACTACAACCTCAAGTACGATCTCAAGTACGACCTCAACTACAACCTCAACTACAACTGCAGTTTCATTCAGCAATCCGTGTGCGTACAGATACAAAAATGATTTTTATTCAATTTGGATATTCTCGAGTTTTGTTCTTTGATTTTAGGTTTTAGTGGAACGTATTGGAATGTTACCGGTGTTACATACGCAGGGAATGGAACAAGAGGTACTGCTTTAAATCAATTAGCTGCACCAACTGGCTTATTCATAACGTCAAATGATACTTTATACATAAGTGATAGTGGCAACTGGCGTGTTGTAGCCTATTTACCTAATGCTGCCAGCGGTTCTATTGTAGCTGGCACAGGAGTAGGTGGGACTTCTCTAACTCGATTAGCTTCGAGTGGAATACGCTATATTTCTGTTGAAGCAAATGAAAATATTTATATCAGTGATACATACAATGAGCGTGTTGTGCGTTGGGCAAGTGGTGGTTCCACTGGTGTAATTGTAGCGGGTAATGGGACTGGTGGAAGTTCACTCAATCAATTAGATTATCCATACGGTCTATGGGTAGATTCGAGTTTAAATGTATTCGTGTCAGAATATCAAAATTATCGTATAACAAAATGGGTTCCGGGTGCATCAGTAGGTGTTGTTGTTGCAGGGATTTCAGGTTCATCAGGTAATTAGAAAGATAGAGAGACTATTTATCGTCATATGTGTATGATTATAGTTGAAATAAAGAAATTAAAAAGCGTTCGAAGTTCTCTGATAGTTATTTTCAGCAGAAAAATCCTATTAATTCTTTCATAGGTTCATAAGAAGATTTCACGAATATGTACAATTTAATCGTTTTTGAAAAGCAGATAAACATTCATTCAGATGAGTGATTCATTTAATTTTTCCTTAAAACAGAGTATTTTGTACTTTGGCGAAACGTCTTCCACAATAAAAGAACATATCCCGTAACATCACTTCTGATAATTATTTGCATATTTTTTATCATCTGAATTGTTTTGTTCTCTTCCGTTAGTTTGCATCGAATGATAGAATTTATGAGTGTCCAACTTGAAATAGTCAGATGTACGATAACAATTTTTCCTATTCTTTTTTTTATCATTAGGCTCAACAACAAATTTATTATCAGGACCTACTGGTCTCTATTATGATGAGGCTAATCAAAACTTATATATTAGTAATACGGGTAGCACTAATACTGTGATGAAATGGCGAGTAGGCGATTCAAATGGTACGATCGTAGCTGGTCTTGCTGGAAGTTCCGGATCAAGTTCAAGTCAATTAAATACTCCAACAGGAATCATATTAGATCAATGGCAAAACATATATGTGAATGATCGTGCTAATTCTCGAATTCAACTTTTTTGCAACGGTAGTTCGACAGGTGTCACTATTGCTGGAAATGGGGCTGGTGGAAGTAGTTTATCTTCTCCATATGATATCAAATTAGATTCACAATATAATTTATATGTTGTTGAAAATACTGCGCATCGTGTTACGAAATTTGCTAAACTATAAGAAATATCAACCGATATAACTTTTCTCCATTCAACAACGTTTTAACAATCATTCTGTCTTTCTTTTTATTTAATTCTAAAGCTACCACATTATTTAGTGTACCGATCTTTTGCTTTCATTTTGTCAAATCAATTGTTGTCAACATAAATAAATTCGCTCAAAGAAGTCGATAGAAAATTCAGTGATTTAAATAAAGAAAGATATCTATTGGTCTAGTACAAGACATTGTAGAGATTACTGTTCAAAAATACCGTTCGTCAAATGTGCGTTAAGATAAATGTATTAGTTCGATTGATTGAGAAATGCATATTGCCGGTAAACACTTCTATATGACGTCCGATATGAAGTAGTTATGACTGAAAAAACTCTGAACAACGAATGTAGAGAAAAAAGCATAAAAGAAAAGCTTTTGCTCTATAAAGATATACTCAAAACTCTTCTTTTAATCTTTTTTTTGTTTTCTGCATAGTCGTTTTTTTCTCAATATATGGGGGTGTCCAGTCTGACCGTGTACCACAATTTGGGCTGTCACATTTACCACTTATCACCACTTTCACTTACCAGGTAAGTGGTAAGTGTAGTAATTATCGAAAAATTATTGATATAGAACTAATAAATAATTATTTTAATTATTTTTTTTTTATTCTTGCGTGGTAATCTATACCACTTGTTAGTAATAGTAAGTGGAATATGACACCCTTAATACTTATACATCGTAGGTTAATAGAAAAGTTTTGCTTAAAATTTGATTTGTTATCAACATTCGGACATTTATATTTATTTTCTGGAAAGATTTCATTGTTTGCAAACATTGATTCATAAGTTGTTATCATTATTGTTATCTATTTCAATGCAGAAAAGACTAAAGAAATATAATCTTATCGTTGCAGTTATTGCCATCTTCTTATGAAACACAAAAAGACTGCGTCATATGTTGTTGTTTTTTATCTATGATAAGCGAGCAAATAACATTTAAATAAGAATATAAAAGCTGCATAGTGGAGATACTGAAATAGACAACAACTAAAGAACGAAACAAGACCCTTAATACTATCGCAAACACTGAAACAATGCAGTATGATCCAAACAAACAAGGTTATAATAACTACGGTAATCAATATCCACCTATGAATCAACCACCATACGGAGCTGGAAATATTTATCAGTACGTAATATCTTTTAGGCAGAATTTTGGTTTTTTGTTGTTGACAGATAATTATTCGTTTTGTTGTTGTTTTTTGAAAGGCCAAATAATGCACCACCACCTTATACACAATATCCTCAACATTCATCTGCTTATCCAACAGCAGTCTATCAACCACCAACAGTTACTGTTGTACCTCTTTATCGACCATTGTGGAATTATTTGACACCAACACCGATTACGTCTAGCCTTCGAGTATTTTTTATCATTTCAGGTCTGCTTTATTTGATATGGGGTATATTAGCTGTTGGTCTCGAAATCGGCATTCTTATTTATTCTTATTGGAGATATTATACTGGCTTTTGGACAGGTTTTTTTCTAATAGCTGGAGGCATTACTATGTTAGTTGTAGGATGCCAGACATCTTATGTGATGAGTCATGTGATTCGACTACTTGGCCTTTGTTTATTCTTTTGTATATTGGGACTCATCTTATCTATCGTTAACGTAGCTAGATCAGGTCGATGTGATTCAATATACTCTTTGTATTATTGCGACAATACAATGGGATACAATCTAAAAGTAGCTATCTTGGTCTTTTTTATTATTGCTAATATTCATACTATTATCAATATGAGTGTGGCTGGTAAAGCACAAAGATCAACAATGTCAGGATCTACTCCAAATGTTCCAATTCGATAATAATTTATGATAAACCAAATTTCATATGAATATTTGATTGAAATCGAAAATAAGTTTTTTTTTTCTTCAATGTCTGACATGAATACCTTTGACTAATAAATGAAATCATTGATTTGACCTATTTTTCTTATTAATTTAATTAAGTGTGTGAATACACTTATATTTTCCAATCAAACTGTCATCGAAAAATTTTTTCAACACAAGAACTTCTTCGTTTTATGAAAAATAGAAATAAATATTTATCTTCTAAGAAATCGTAATTCACATCAATTAATAACTATTCATGATGCAATCAGTAGTTACTATACTGCTTTTCTCTCAATTAACTATTACAATATATCCTTCTGTTTCTTTGTCTCAATGCTCAAGATAATATTCAGTATTGTCATTGATTACTGAAAAATAAAATTCCCATTATAATCTTCGGCCTTTTGATTCTAATTTCTTGAAATTGAAATCTGCATAATAATAATATGATTAGGATTGATTCAAAAATACGTCTTATGATTCATTGACAGATGCTCTCCAGACAGATGCTCCCGAGACACAGGTATGAGTGCGAGTGGGCGAAGAAGTGATGTACATTCACAGCCACATCCTTTCTCACACTCATAACTCTGTCGCGGAAGCAAGTGTCCTGGGAGCATCTGTCGTCGAGAAGTCTCTGTCTATGGAGAGCAACAGTCGTGTTACCATTGTCAACATGTCGTGAAGTCATTTCAGTGCTTTTTCTGCAGCATACTTTGAAGAAATTCTTTAGATTTTCTATACAAAAACTTGAACTGTTTTCGCAGTTTTTGAGCATAACTAACGCAGTGCGCATTTGTACAAGTCATACATGAAGAGATCTTTCTAAACTTGGAACATATTTAGTAAAACTGTGTTATATATTATTAATTAAAATGCATCTTCGCCTTTACATCTTCTAAGCCTGAGAAAGTATTGCTTTTCTCAAAAAGATGCAAATATATTTTTCAATATAGATACAAAGAAAAAAAAAACACTGAATTTGAATTCAATTGCTATTTTTCAATAAATTGTTTCTACGTAGGCGAGCGTATTTATTTAAATTAGCTAGGGGATTAATACCTATAATAGTACTGTCTATACTAGCCAAACTTCAACATAAGCGACTGGTTTAAATAAATTTGACAAGAAAAAAATTAATTTTCTTGTTTTTAGTTTCTGAGCTTTATAGAAGATAAAATATTACCAGTTATACCTCTTATTTTTTACAGGGAAATACTGCTATTATGCATTGTACCAAATGTAATCAATCACATCGCATCTGTCTTCCGAACACGTCACCACCAATTGTATGTTACTTCCCTGTCTTTCTTTCTCCTAATCTCTCCACAAATGAAGAGTGAGGTCATGAGGGGAAGAAAAAAGATGTATTTTGATTTAGTTGAAAAATAAAAGGCAAGAAGGAAGTACAGAAAGGAATATACTGTTACACCAAGGTTTTAAATTTCTTTTTCATTGTACGAGTGTGGGATAAGTGAAATAAATTCGTTTACTAACGATGTATTGGACAAAAATGAATTTAAACTAAGAATTATTGGCAAGAATACCAAAAAAAAATATAACTTTTTTTTACAGGCATAATAGACGATACGGAATTTTCTAATGTATTGAGAGTTTTAATCGATTAAAAGACTAAATAAGATTACAGAGAAAATGAGTTTTTATTCAGCATCAGTTTTATTTGAACAGAATCGTTGATAATTGTTTGAACTTCAATACGTGCATATGTTATGATACAAAAGTTTAACGATATTGACTATTTAATGTTACATTAATACATGCGACACACTGATTAAATTAATACTTGATTGATAGAGTCATAGGATTTCGATATATAAGTAACTATCATCCATTATTAAACTATTCGAAAGAAAAATGTCTTATTCTTATAGCGATTTCTTATCTACCAAATCCTAAACGTGATAAATACAAAATAATTTCGATAAAAATTAATAAGAATGTACCACGATAATTATCTCAAAATTGTCTATCATTTTTATTCTTATATAATAATTTATAATCGCTCATGATAGTCTGATAAAATTTATAGATGGTTTATTAAAGTCAAAATATGAATTTTTTTCTTAAATGTATGTCGTTATCGATTTTAAATACTTTAAAAATAATACATGCTTTAATTAAAAAGACTTTAACGGTTCAGAAAAGCTGTATATCACTTTTAAAAATCTGATCTTTCAAGCTCAGATTAACAAATTTAGATGCATCTTTCTTTTATTCAGTTTATAGAATCATTTTTTCGTCTTTTTTCTTAATCTAATGATCAATGGCAATGACATAACGATTAAATTTATTTGTATAGCATAAGAATTCATGAGTGATTAAGTGTAAGAATGAACATTAAACTTATTTTCCAAAGTTAATGTATTGTTTAATGAACTATTAAATACCCACAAATAGTTATTGTTATTATCTTGACATGAAAAATTGTTCTAACAACATCGATATGAAATATAACGAAACTGCCACTTCATCATTGTTTATTTATATATATATATTATTTCGAACTTGTCTTTTTACTTTTTTTTTCTAATCTAGTGATCCTGTCTTCCTATTATTGTTATAATTATTCTCTTGCGCATGATCTAAACGTTTTCTTCGATAGAAATCTTGTATTGTGAAGCAAAGTGGCATAACTTGTAAAGACAACAAATAAAAAGTGATAGTCATTTTGCTTAGTATTTTTTTCAATCATGTTTGTTGCAACGCATATTTTAGTCGATCCAATACTAGAATGATTCATGACCATGTCACTTAATACATGATATACATAATATCAATGTACTTTTTGTTAGAAGCACATTTTTTATTTGATATTCTCACTGACATTTTCTCCAATATTTTTGTTATCGATATTTAATTGTCTAATCCTGCACACGCTCTTTCTCTGAGATTTAAAAAAAAGCAAAGTATTTTGGGTGTCGTTGTCGTCTCACGAATACATCATATTTTTTTTCTCTTATAAAATCATTTATTAAGACCGTTGCACACAAAAGAAAATATTTGTGATGATATCATGATTGTTACTTGACTGCTCTAGTTTTATTTTCTCTTCTAAATTCACCTTTGTTGAACATTAGGCATGCAGCGAAGCCGAACTTCGGTTCAAGTTCGAAAAACTCTCCAACGAGTTCAGGCTACGTCGAGTATTTAGGTAGTTGTTCAAGCAGTTCTTAAAGCATATAGGCGATTACGGAAGTACTCTTAGATTCAGTCAAGTTTGGGTTCGGGTTCTGTATTTCTGAGCATCATTAACTTTTTTCGTTCGATAGCATGTTGCCTTTCAGTTTTTAGGTCATTTACTTCATTATCTGTAGACCTATTATAATCAATCGTGAAAACCTTTCTTTTAGTTTACTTCTATTTCATAGTTTTATTAATTAACAGAAAATCATTACATTCAAGACCGAACCTGAACGTTCGGGTTCGGTGAGTGCTTATCAGGCCTCAAAATGGGCCGCCCGACCCGACGATTTTATCCTTTTTTGACATAACTTTTTCTGAGATTTGGCTCACCCCTGAGGGGGAATAGGGGAGAACCTTTTCACGTAACCTTTCCCCTTGGTCATTACTTTTTATAAAAGCCGAAAAATATGGAACAGCTGTCTATTGAGAAAAAAAATCTTTGTAAACGAAGTTTCTTTTGGGCCCGATTTCGAGGCCTGATGCCTATTGAATATTGTATATAAGAAAAACAATTTTGTCTTCATTGTTCGTTTTATATACAATTTAATTTTTAATTTTTTGGGTGAGTGCAAAAATGAAATAACTTTTATATATGACTTCTTTTAAGCTATCACACGATATACGTATATTGATTTCAATAATTATAGACAGAAAATGATGTCTCAAGTATCCACTCTAATTTGGATCATCGGTACAATGTGCATGACAACTTATAGTTTACCAGTATTGAACTTAAACGATTCAAATATCATTAGTGATATCACAAATAATAAAACGTGAATATCTACTTTATCCTAATGATACGATATAATGTTGTAGTGTACATGAATATTTGAAACAGAAATTATAATAAGGCATTTTAGAAAACGAAATACATATTAAAAAATCTGTTTGTCAGCCATGACTATTCAAAATATAGTTCTTATGATACAGTTAAACAGTGATGGTTATGAAGAATTATTTTTATAAAATTTCAACTAACAATGAAATGAAAGTTATCATAGATATTTTCGAGATCGATTTCGATAATATATAGAGAATATCGACGATCGAAATTTTTTAACACATACAAATTAATATCATATTGATGATGATAAATCATGGGTTTTATTGAGATCAAGATCGAACAAGAAATCTTGGCTTAGTCTTATTTCAGGTACTTTTTCGTTTTAGCTATTTGAGCAAATAAACAATTCTATGTAAACATAATTTTTCTTTTATTGCTTTTTTTCTTTCGCTTAAATATAGTTTTCTCTAGATAAGCACATATGATTATTTTTATGATAGATTCATGATCAGCTGATTTTAATTTCAAATTATATCGTTACATTTAATTTTTTGTTCGCTTTACAGCTCTAAAATTTATTTTCAATGTCCAACATTCAGAAAACTCATTGAAATTTATTTCAAATGTTAGTAGTTATCTTATGAGTTAACTATAGTTTGCACTATAGCTCTGAAGTTTATTGGGTGAGTGTGAGGGTGTGGGTATGGGTGTGCATGAAAAGAATAACTACAGCTAAACTCACACCCACACCCAACAAACGACAGAGTGTTAGTAGAATCGACACTTTTTCTTAACTTTACTATATGAAATAATGTACACAACTTTGTCTATTAAGATAAGTATAGTTTACTTGAAAAGTAAAGTAAAATATTCGAATTAAAAATTTTGTTTTTCATTTTTTAGCTAGACACGCACCTACTTCTATAGTTTTTATTGAACATTGGTCAGAATAAAATTTTATGATCGAAGATAACAAAATAGT